CTCAACTGCAAACAAGCAAGAAATTTATTTAAACCCAGCCTGGGGACTTGTTCACCTCTTGAAATGACGTTCGGGCGTAACAATTCATTGGAACGAGGTGTATTGATTCCTATATAAATGGGAATCACTCCACCGCGTTCCAATGCTCCAGACCATCCCTTTCCCCCTTATAGCACTCTAATGTGCGATAGAGGCACAACTATCAGCCAACTGCTCTTAATATGGGAGTTCTGAGTAATAGAACTCCATAGTTCCCTAACCGATTCAAATTCAGGCTAGCGTTAAGCGCTTTATTCCTGTTATCCTCTAGTGACTTGTCCGCGTAACTGAAATTGGTTGCTTGGGCCTCAAACCTCCGCTCTGGGCTGCGCCCAGTTCGGAGACTTATTGCTTAAGGGGTTGGACCCTACGTGCCTGGGTTTTTAGGTTTTTGTTAATTTTTTTTAGTGGCTTTTTTGTTTTTTGTAAATTGTTTGGTACGATGTCCTGAATACATGTCCAACACAGCTTTATTGCGCTTGTCTACGTTGATAGAACTACGAACTATCCTCTTTATTTATTTCTTTTACTTTCTCTCTGAGGTTTGTTTTTATTCTCTCTTGGGTTACTTTTACTATCACTTAAGGTATAACTCCGAACCGAACTGAAGTATTGGTACTTATATAGTACTAGTATACTAGTATGCGCGAGCCCTCGCATGCCTCGTGTATGTATTTTTGTATTCTTTTAACCTTATTATCTATTGTATTGACTGATCTATTCTAAACACTTCACTTGTCAGGTCCACGCCACGCCAACTCGTTGAGTCTCATTTTCTATTATGTATTTTCCCATATTTACAATATTTTATAATCGAGTTAAACATACTAAATGATGTCTTCTGTGCCTTGCCATGCTGTTTTCACCGTAGTTTGTCACGTTCCTTATGCCGGGTCCAGACCAAGCAGACAAAACAAAAACATTCATGTTTCGCGACTAAAGTGGCGACAAATCGAAAACATTTGTTGAGACATTTCTGAAACAATTTTGTTTTGTTTGCAGATTTGAAAACTTTTTCAGGTCCCGTCTCAGGTCGGTAAAGATCAAAAGGTCTGTGTTTTGTCTGTGTTTTTGACGACAAGTTGTCGATGCAGTGTGGACGCGTGTGCGTGACAAAACGAGTTAAGCAGTAGGAGAAATAGAATGTACAATTTTTATCAAAATCAAGTGTATTTTTCTGTTGTGTAGTGATTAAATAAATACTAGTGTATTTTTCTAAACATGTCGGGGGACAAAAAGTGGAATACACAAAATACATGCAAGTTAATAGAACTTTACAAGGAGCATCCGATATTATGGGACCCTAAAAATAAAGATTATAAAAATCGCTACAAGAAAGCCGATGCATTAAAGGAAATTTCTTTATCGCTAAATGTGCCACTAAATGATGTTGAAAAGAAAATAAAGAATGTTAACAACCAGTATGCTAGAGAAAGACGAAACTACAAGAAACTTAAAAAATCTGGGGCTGGGAAACTTTTCAGTTCAAAATGGTTTGGTTATGTCGCATTTTTAGGCTTGGTCTAATCCAAAAACGTTTGGTTTTCGTTTAGCAACCTGGGATGATGATGAGAGCAAAAAAAAACAATTTGCGGCTAGCAATAAATCTTCAGTTTCATTTTTTTCTTGATTAAAACGCCACATGGTTAACCAACACTAATCACAACAACAACGTCACCAACTGAATTTTGTTTTTATATTTTGTTGTTCTGGTGTGGACAGTTTGTCTCAATTTTGTTTTGTCTTTTGACGACAAATTTTGTCGCCGGTTTATCGTGTTTTTGTTTCAGAATTGTGTTTTCGTTTTGTCTGCTTGGTCTGGACCCGGCATTAGACTTTCATTCGGATGATATCTTGGTTTGTTGAAGATTCCATACACTTTTCATTCATTTTATCTAGGATTCTTACCTCTTTTAATCCTCTGTGTACGAATCTTTTAGATACGTATGTGGGTGGATACTCACACATCACCCACGTATTGGGAGGAGAATGTAATAACGGGGATAGCGAGAGTTAAAGTTGTCGAGCCGTTAAATAGAATGAACAATGGTAAGGCAGTAGGATCTGCTGGAATATCTGTGGAGGTTTGGAAGGCTCTAGGAGAGGAAGAGGTTGATATTTTGTGGCAAATGATGAGTAGGATATATGAGGAAGAAAGGATACCTAATGCATGGGGGAGGAGTGTGATGGTATCATTGTATAAAGAAGAATGATAGAGCTTCCTTCTGAAAACAGAAAAAACTAAGAAAGAAAAGGATAGCAGTTGTAAAGTCTTGCTTTAGGCTACGTGTCTCTTCAAGGTACATTTTTTTATTGTGTATGTTTGGGGCGATTTTCCGTTAATGATTGAAGACCGACGTAGGCGTCGAGGCAGCGGTTTGGCGGCGCTTATTGTCTATGGAGTTGATGTTTGGCGGGCAACTTCGTCGTGAACTAGTTGAGGTAGTCCGTTGATAACAATACCAGATGCATTCAAAAACGGAACAATTTCTTTCGAATTAATTGGACTTTCTTCAGTAAATTGCGTGGAGATTAGCTGTGGCTAGTTCCTTACCTACGTACAAGTACCACAGAAAACCAATCTCCATTGTCCTTATGTAAATTGAATCGACTCTGAAGGAGTTATTTGAGGGGACTCACTATCCATTTTTGGGATATTAAGGGTTGTTTGTCGAGTATGTCGTTTTGTCGATGGCTAGTGAATGCCTTCCAGGAGCTGAGCTTAAGTAGGGTGTAATGGGATTAAGATCTGGTTGTACGTCGATGCTAAGATTTCCTATCCGTACATATTGATAGGAGATAATGGTAAAAGTTTTTTTAGGTAAGACGTTGAAAAAGATCATAGACATGAGGTTAATCGTCGACTTTATGTCCGAAGTGAGTTCGTATGAGGGAATTTGTCTGTGGTAGTGCATTGGTGCATTTAGCATTAATTTATAGAAATTGTGATTTTGAAAAAGAGAGTGGCTCTTTGTTGGTATTGTGTGTCGTGATGTCCGTGCTTTGGCAGCACCTGAAACAGTATTTTAAGCGCAGGGGGGTGATGTTATTCGATCCAAGGATCTCACAACGTCTAATCTCCCCGTTCAGCTTAATACCCAAATTTAGTGCTTCCGCGAACTTTTGTTCGGAGTTAGCGAAGACTCCAACAAAGTATGTAGAGATGTTATTTTAGTGGGCAATTATTCTGATGATTTTGATGTAAGGGAAGTGACCTTATGATAGACGGTCTTCCATGTCTTTTTGTAAAAGATTTTTGTTCACGCACTTTTGTTAACGTCTGTCATGATGAGATGAAGGTTTGATTGGATTTTGTTTATTGCTTCAGAAGACTTTTGTGGGTGTTATTGACATGTCTGGAGCCAAGGTTGATTAAAATATCACCGAAGTTGTTTCTTAGTTTGATCTGAAATTTGTGGATATTTAGGGGTTGGAATGTATTGAGGAGTGCTGTTTTGTTTGTTAAATAGACTTTTAAGTAGGCAATGTTGTTGAGACGAAGTTCGTTGATTTTAAAATATTGTTGAGGTATTTTTGTTGGTAAATGTTTGGTGGGATGTATTCTATAAGGTATTTGTATGGGTCGTGTTGTCTTATTGGGTTGTCTTGTGTGGTTGTGTTGCTTGTATGTGATGGCTGTAGGGGATAATTCGTATCAATTGTTTGAATTGGTCATTCTGTTGCAGAATTGTAAAGGAATGCGTGTGTTTAGGTATGTGTATGTGATGTTTTTTGGGACTGAACTAAAGGGTGGGGTGGGTTTTTTTATTTGGTTGGTTCTCAGTAGTAATATGAGTGACTAAGGTCGATTCAGAACATCAGTCACGTCCGTCACAGTGATTGCGCCGAACCGAACAATCCGTCATACAAAATATCTTTAATACAAAATGTTGCCGGCATCACATCATCAGTTGACAAACAGTTTCCAGCTGTCAGATAGTTGATAGTTCTGTGACCAAACAGGATCGGTTCGGCGCGAGAACTATGACGGCTGATGTGTCTGAATCGACTTAGTAGGTTGAAATGCCAGTTGGTAGTTCAGATTTGTACCCTAGGTGGCGCTAACAGCGTTAAGATTAGATTATCGATTAAAAAATTTTAAAAATGATCATTTTAAACCTATCCAATTTTATTTTGTTAATAAACTTTATGTGATAAATTTTTTACTTTATTTGCTATGAATACGTATGCTTGGTTGTCTACCTTCCAGACCGTTAGAATTCGAAGTCAAAATTTGACCAACGTAGCAAAAAATTAATTACTAAATTTGATAGGCAGTTCAGACTAAGTTCAGTAAATATATTATTTTTTAAACATTTTTCCGGAGAACTGGCGCCAAAATAGACAGATTTTGTCAGAAGTAAATACAAAAATTACACTTCAACACATACATCATTATGTATAGCTACATAAATTATAACTAAATATACAATAATTTACACATTTTGTTGAACACACCATAAAATTTAAAATAAACAATGTAAAACAAATAACACATTTTTTATAGCAACCAATTGACATCTAACAGACAAAAATGCTACCAAAGTAAAAGTATTTACAAACGACATACAATAATCTATACATTACATAATTTATCACAATGATACTTATCAGAAACAGAAAGAAACTAATCAGATATAATGTTATATGCCAGAAAGAAAAAGCCATAGAAAACTACAAGAAAAGCTTATTTTAAGTAAATATTCCCATAAATAGATATCCACTTTAGAACAATGTTTAATATTTATTGACTTACAAACATTTCAATTAAATATTTTTGAATGATTTGTCGTTTTCTGGGGCAATTTTTTGCAATAATACGTCACTTCTACAATCCAATAGAAGACAACTCGTTATCTTTCACCTCTCTTAAACATTACCTTGGTAAGCTCCACCTCTATGACCCTACCCTAACTTCCGATTTTCAGTGAACTGAACTTGCGCGAATTTGAAAAAACCTCGTAGTAGTCGTAAAATCGTTTTGTGAGGGTGTGATCTAAATTTAATTATTTGGTGACATACTTCAAAGATATATCTCATTGTTAACTCGGAAGGTATTCGATGAGACGATCCAAAATTCGTCTTAAAGAAAAAAACTCCAGATATTAAATAATACGGTCTAGAAGTGATTTGGCTTTGGCCGCAAACGGCAGCGAAAATTAGCATAAGAAACCTCGTGATTGGTTAAATTTGTTAATAAAATGAAGATTTATAAAATGTCCACGTTAAATTTGATTATTAGAAGCTCTAAGACTGCTAATAAATTAAATTTTTCTAATTAACTAAATTTGTGAAAAAGTGAGGTTAGTCTTTTTTTGACTTTTTCTATAGTACTGTGACGTCATTTCCAAGAAAAACGCTTGTGACTAATTTTTTGAACAAAACTTAAATTGGTGCAAAATTTTCTAGAATTCGCCATTTGGTATTAAATGTATTTATATTCAACTATTATGTATACAAGTGATTTTAATGAATTTATAAAGGTATTTTGTACTATAAACTTGAACAAAATTTCTGGATTTGCACAAATAAGATGCACAATGTGGAATCTGCATTTGTTACCTCTAGCATTGGATATCGAGCTAAGAATGATCCTGGAGACTGACATCTGTTTGGTGGAGAACTGTATCATGGATATGTGACATTTACTTGATATCCATTACCCCTTGGTTGAATTATAATATTGATGTAAGTATTATCTTATTTATTTTAAACCTTATTATGATAGCAATAGTTTCTATGTAATATTAAGTGCAAACATAAAGTACAGCAAATCCCCCTTATCTTGAAATATCAGTCCTAAAAATGACAACTAAAATTGTTAAAAAAGTTACAAATAACAGGTATTAAAGCTAACAAAATGACAAGTATCTCGTATGAACCATACGATTTACCTAAATTGCTAACATTGCCACCTATAAAAGAGCATCCTATCTAAAAAAAAATGAAGTAACAGTTCCGAATTTTTTTTATGTCCGAACACATTAAATGCTAACTGTTAACCTTATCATTTTTATTGCTAAAATTTTATGACACATCGATTATTTATTACTATTTTTTTAATGGGTTACAGTTATTTGAGATATGATACGTTTTTGCAATTTACGAACTGAAGCTTATTATTTTTAACAAATTATAGAGAACATGCTTGACTTTTTTAGTTTTCCCTTTTTACTTTAGAGTTGTATAGGATATGGCTTCATACTGTACGGGTAATTATTAATAACTATACATCCATAGTTAATTTTACTGTGAACTCCATGAAAATGAATACAAGTTTCAGCTGTTTCTAATAAACTATGCCCACATTCTTTCTTTGTTTCCTTTGTACTTTTTTAGCTTTTCAGTCATTTATTCATAAATAATCTACACAAAGGATTTTTTGTTCTCTTTAAATAGAAAATGTTTAGATCTTATATCAAGCTGCAACATGTTTTTTCCAGTGTTATCCTAGATTTCTATATTTATATTATTATCCAGCATAACAGAAAAGATTGAAACAGCTAAAAAAGGTGACAGATGTTTGATATTCATACCTAACCATACTATTGCAATTATTGTCAAAGATAAATTACAAGTCTAGAATTTATTCCATTTTCAAAGTTATTTGAAACTGATATGCCACAAACATCCTTTAAACCAATATCTAGCCAATAGTGTAAAAATAAACTTGAAAGCTGTGAAGACCCTGACAATATGTTAAAAATATCATAATGTTATGCAATAAATAAGCAATATGAAAAAAATAACACTGATATGTTTGTCTTATGTAAATAATATACAAGAAACCTTGTTTATACTTCATTATGTACTGTACACTAATAATTCCAAGTAAGAGATGAAATTATCAATACTAGTAACAGATAACTATTATGTAATCAAGTGCACATATAAAATATATAGTTTAGATAAGATATCATTCAGGTATATGAATTTAAATTAAATAGTTAGTCATTTTATAAAATAATGTGTGTTAAAATCAGGGTATGGAAAATGTCATACAAACCTCATGTTTTCTAAAAATACAAAAAACAGTGACTGTTTAAACGAGAGGTCTTCTCGGGGCTGTAGCACCAGGTGGTTGAAGGTTCCAGGGTGGTATGTGCAGAACATACTTTAAACTTTAACTTTAAAGATCCAACACTTTGCAAGATTACCATATTGATGCAGAAATAATTCTAGAAAAATGGGTCTATCAGAATCTTACAGATATGGACTTTTCAATGTCATAAAAAATTATTCGGCTAACAAGCTCTGAGATATAGCAAGCTCGGCAATATATTTTGTCTTTATTGTGTCTTAGTTGAAAAAAAAAGACCCCAATCTAAAATAGGATTTTCGTTATGGAATAAAAGGAAGGAAATATTTGACGAACATAAAAGATCCAATCATCATATAAATAATCTGAAAATTTATACAACTTACGTATTAAAGCAGAGTTGATGTAGAACTCGATAAGGAAACTGGGTTAAAGAACTAGAAAGAATTGTAGGTGTAATAAAGTTTCTGGCTACCAGGGATTTTAGAGGTACTCATGAAAGAATTGGCGAAAAAACGAAATAGAAACTATTTAGGTTTACTGGAACTACTGTCAGAATATGATCATGTTTAAAAGATTATATTAATAAACGAGCAAATTTAGGTAAGGGCACAACATCATATCTATCAAAAGATATTACGAATCAAAAGAAGTTACGAATTACTAAATATTTTGTCCAATCGATTCAGTGATGAAATTGTTAGGCAAATATGGGCAAACAAATACTATTCTATAAGTGTAGAACACCTGACAACCATGACCAACTATCAATAAAGGGAATCCTGTGGAAAGATTCATGGGATTTTATACAAACACTGGGCATAGCTCACAAGAACTTGAGGAAACTTGAAGTTATTGGGATGTTTAGAGTCATTGAAATTGGATATTAAGAACTGTAGAAGCTAGTCTTATAACAATGCCAGTAATATGAATGGCAGGTATTCTAGTTTGCAAGCACTTATTTAAAGTGTACAATGATTTAGCTCTCTTTGTGCCATGTGCTGCTCACTCTTTAAATTTGGTTGTCCAAAATGCAGCAGATTGTTGTTTGGAAGCAACATCTTTTTTTTATGTTGGTACAAGCTGCCTACAATTTTTTCTCCGTGTCTACTACCGGTGGGAGATATTATCTCGTGCAATAAAGGATTCGCCTTAGGCGGGACAGACATTGTTACCTAAAAGAGTGAATATTACCTGTTGGACTTTTCGTTTTGATGCCGTTAAAGAGTTAAAAAGCAATTACGGTTTGATTAAAATATGTTTGAAATGTTAATGGATGTAAATGAGAAAAATGTAAGAGTTTAAGTAGCTTCTCTATCGAAAAAACTTGATTTGTTGGAAAACGAAATAATTTTATCATTCTGGCTTGGCTCACTAATTTATTTATTTATTAGTTTATATGGTATGTAAAATTCATTCATGGCTTTGTACCATTTACTTCATAGCTGTTCTAGCACACTATCAGAAGATTTAAAATCTATGAAAATATAGGTATCAATATTGAAGTCATTGGTTTTTTTTTTCAGAGTAAAAAACTCCTCTGAATATACACTTAGGCAATCATATAGGATACTTTGAAATATTTTGTATATTAAGGTATGTAAGGAGGGTTGTTCCACTGTAGTTTCTACACTCAAATATATCTCTTTTTGTGTAGCAAACAATTCCAGTATATCATTCTTCCAGGATTTTGTCCTCATTATTGGCTTTTACTATTTTTTTATGTATTTGATTATGGAACAGTTAACAATTAGAACAAAAAGATAAAAAAAAATGACTGAACAGTTGAATAAACTGATTTGTTTACATCATGTGTTGTCCACTGTAGCTTGGACCATGATTTCCATTATCTAAGACATTTTACGAATTAACATTTGAATATACTTCTAAGGCATGTTATTGCACTCCTCTATAAGCACAATACTAGTTCAATACAAATATTTCTTCATGTTTTATTTCAAATTATATGACTAGTGGTATACTTAATAGTGGTTGTATAGCTGTTATGAAAAACTTTTCTTTTTTCTTCACTTCCTCTCTAAATCAAGCAGTTTTCTTTTTCTCATTGTGTTAGTATTCGTCAACTGTCATCTGAATTATTACATTTTATAACAATTTTTTATTTCATGGAGTTTGAGCCCCAAATATATAAATATACTTATATTCATTTGTGTTTCTAGATTTAATATTTGTCTTACTGTGTTTCAAATGTTGCCATCTGTATTTTGCCCTGTATTGTTTTTATAAAAATAAAAATCAATATGTTTACAAATGAAATATGAGGTGCAAATATCTTTGTTTCACATTCAGTCTATATATTTTTATGTGGGATTTTTATACTGCTGATGAATCAATTATTATATTAAGTAATATTTCATAATTGAAATACCTACTTATGTAACAAAACCCATGTGAATTGCAAATCCATGTGAAATTAAAATCAGTTGGTTTTATGGAATCCTTAATATGACTGGGGTATATAGTGTTTTTTTAGTCAAAGGTAGGGCATTTAAATTAGAAATGAAAGAATGGAAAAGAAAAGTATTTTTAAAGTGTGAAAAATTTTTAAAATTGTTTAAATTACTTAACTTTAAATGGTCAAAATTTTATTACAAATATACTTAGTAAGTAAGTACTAAAATGAATAAACTGCAAATCAAATTTTGGGAAAAAGGGTTTAATCAATGAAGTAACGAAATTTGATGGACATTTAATTTCAGATTTTTAATTACAATTAATAATGAATAATAAACAATGTATACTCGCCACAATATCATATTAAGTGGATTGTGTCTAAAAAAGTTTATGCCTATATGATAAAAATGGAAATGTTTCATCGCTTTGAGCCCTGATGTGCTTACTTCAAATCTAAATTGTCGGATTCTGTTCTTAAATCAATGTGCAGTTCATTAATGTTCTCTAAGAGTTATGTGAGAGCACATATGGGCCTTATTGGGTAGTATAATATGTTCAATTGGATTCTTGCATTCAGTTTTTACCCCAAGGGAAAAATTTACTGATTCACTGATAACATTTGTTTTTTATAAATTCCGAAATGTGTTTCAACTCACACTTTTATACAGGTTAATATTTGCCTTTTCATTTTATTTTTAGGTCCAATTTTAATCATTTTTTGAACAAATTGTAGATACTTAAGTGACGAATTTTAAACTTACATGTACAGTTTTTAGTTAATTCTTGTATTTTAATTACCATACAGTGTTAATTTTGCAATCAAATACTTTCACAATACCAGTTTTTGTTAAGAATTATTTTTTCCTACATTTATTTCGTTTCATGTCTTCAAATGTTAGGTTCAATTTTAGGAGAAATATAATGAACTAATGAAAATACAATCATTGTATTTATTAATACCTACAAACCAATTTATCTGTGGTTAACTTGAAAAAATGTACCCACTTTTTAAAACATATTAAATTCACTATTTTGTATTACCCCTTAATAACTGCTTGAATACCTTGGTTCATACTATCAATCAAGTTATGAATACCGTCTTCGAACTATTTTGCCATTCTTCCTGAAGAAATTATAACAAAGCTAATTGACTGTAGCAGGAGGTATTTCATCTGACTTGCGTACCAAGCTGACCTATCAAGTTAAGGTCAGGTGAACATGTTGTCCAGTCCAT